AGTTACAGTAGCTACTTGTAAGAACTGGTAGATTACTGATTAACCGAAGAAACAGACAAAATTAGTTAAAGAAGCCTTCCAGAATAATTATTTTCAGACTCTCCATTAAATTAACAATTAGGAGGATATATTTAAATTAGGGTTGTCAAGCCATTAAAAAAACTTAATTGTGATTAATCACGCGATTAAAAAATAATCACAATTAATCGTGATTAATCATACTGTTAGACAATAACAGAGTACCATTTATTGAAACATTGCATGTTTTCTACATTTTGAAATACATCGATTTCAACTACAACACAGTATGAAGTGCCCAGTGTTCATTTTATATTTATTTTTATTACAAGTATTTGCACTGTAAAAAAACAAAAAACAGTATTTTTCAATTCACCTAATACAAGTACAGTAGTGCAATCTCTTTATCATGAAAGTTGAAGGTACAAATGTAAAATTATGTAAAAAAAACCCTGCATTCAAAAATAAAACAATGTACAATTTTAGAGCCTTCAAGTCCACTCAGTCCTACTTCTTGTTCAGCCAAACAAATTAATTTACATTTGCAAGAGATAATGCTGCCCACTTCTTGTTTACAATGTGACCTGAAAGAAAGAACAGGCATTCTCATGGCACTGTTGTAGCCGGTGTCGCAAGATATTTATGTTCCAAATGTGCTAAAGATTTGATATGTCCCTTCATGTTTCAGCCACCATTCCAGGGGATATGCGTCCATGATGATGACAGGTTCCATTCGATAACAATCCAAAGCAGTGCAGACCGACACATGTTCATATTCATTATCTGAATCAGATGCCACCAGTAGAAGGCTGATTTTCTTTTTTGGTACTTCAGGTTCTGTAGTTTCCGCATTGGAGTGTTGCTCTTTTAAGACTTCTGAAAGCATGCTCCATACCTCATCCCTCTCAGATTGTGGAAGGCACTTTAGATTCTTAAACCTTGGGTCGAGTGCTGTAGCTATCTTTAGAAATCTCACATTGGTACCTTCTTTGCGTTTTGTCAAATCTGCAGTGAAATTGTTCTTAAAATGAACAACGTGTGCGGGGTCATCATCCGAGACTGCTATAACATGAAATATATGGCAGAATGTGGGTAAAACAGAGCAGGAGACATACAATTCTCCCCCAAAGAGTTCAGTCACAAATTTAATTAACGCAATTTTTTTTTAAAACAAGTGTCATCAGAATAGAAACAAGTCCTATGGAATGGTGACCGAAGCATGAAGGGGCATACAAATATTTAGCATATCTGGCACGTAAATATCTTACAATGTCAGCTACAAAAGTACCATGCAAATGCCTGTTCTCACTTTCTGGTGACATTGTAAATAAGAAGAGGGCAGCATTATCTCCTGTAAATGTAAACAAACTTGTTTGTTTTAGCAATTGGCTGAACAAGAAGTAGGACCGAGTGGACTTGTAGGGTCTGAAGTTTTATATTCTTTTGTTTTTGAGTGCAGTTATGTAACAAAACAAAATTTGTAAGTTGCACTTTCATGACAAAGATTGCACTACAGTACTTGTATGAGGTGAACTGAAAAACACTAGTTCTTTTATTTACAAATATTTGCACTGTAAAAATGATAATCAAAAATAATATACATTGATTTCAGATACAACACAGAATTTCATATATATTGTAATGTAGAAAAACATCCAAAACATTTAATAAAATTCAATTGGTATTCTAACTGTGATTAAAACTGAGATTAATCATGATTAATGTTTTTAATTGTGATTAATTTTGAGTTAATCGCGTGAGTTAACTGCGATTAATTGACAGCCCTAATTTAAATGTACACCTTGCATCCACTCTTCAATAGGTGAATAAGTCAAGTGTTGCTAGATATTGTTGGATTATTGAAGAACTAAAGCACAATTGTGCCCTAGGGTGAAATCCTGACCCTTGTGACTTAACTAGGACAGGATTTCACCACTAGTTTCTAAATGACAATGCTTTAATTTATATTAACAGATGTGTTTCATGTGTAAAATGGGGTAACGATGCATACTGACCTATTTAAAGCACTTTTAAGATCTATGGATGAAGAATGCTGTGTAAGAGCGAGACATTATTTAAAATGCAAACATTCTTCAGTATCACTGTATACAATAATAAATGTTTTCTGAACTATTTAACAAATGTTCCTTAACTTTTATTTTACTTTCTTTAAAATGTAGGTTTCATAATTTAAATAACAGTATTTTGTAATATCTAACGTTATATAATACTCTATATACAGTATCTGTCAGGTCTCCAAATGGTTATTAAGGTAGGCTGCTTAATGTCTTAAGAAACAATGATCATCTGCCACCTATTTGTAAAAGCATCCTAGCTACTACCTATCATATTATCAAGAAGTGGTTGCCTGGTAGCACCAGAAACAGACTTTTTCCACCTGAAAAAACAGGTTGTGCTCAATTGTTTAGGAGGTCATTATTTCCTGGCTCTTTGCAATACTAAACAATGCTTGAAACAATGCTCAAAGCTAATTAGTTCTGGTTCACATTTCCAATCCTGCCCTGCATGTAAACACCAAATTGAGTTTCAAAAGAAATTACAGGATACTAGAAAAAGCCGGACTCTGGTCTGCTGGAACACAGCAGCTAACTTGAGTTCAAACAGTTCATCTTGAAACACTTTCACTCTGCTTTGATTCCCACTGAAAAGAAAATCTGTCTTCTGATGGCCCATTTAAATTTATGAATCGTACTACAAAACACGGAAAGAAAAAAACAAACAGGCTTTCTGCTAGAATTTTTAATGAAGACCTAGTGGGAAAGAAAGTGTAGAAATGGATTTCCAGCTGCATAACTTTCCCTCAAACCATATCTCCGTGGAACAACTGCTTAACCAAAGTATAGTGAAAAGCTTAATCCTTAGCTAAGGGTACGTCTATACTTACCTCCGGGTTCGGCGGTAAGCAATCGATCTTCTGGGATCGATTTATCGCATTTTGTCTAGACGCGATAAATCGATCCCAGATCGATCCCAGAAGTGCTCACCGTTGATGCCGGTACCCCTGTTCTGCGAGAGGAGTATGCGGAGTCGACGGAGGAGCCTGCCTGCTGCGTGTGGACCTGCGGTAAGTTCGAACTAAGATACTTCGCTTCAGCTACGTTATTCACGTAGCTGAAGTTGCGTATCTTAGTTCGAAGTGGGGGGTTAGTGTGGACCAGCCCTAAGGAAACAGAAGCATTAAGCTGCTGCTGCCAAAGAATTCCTTACCTGTTTTAGCCCAAAGGGACAGGAAGGTTCAATTTTTTAAAAAGTGATGCTTTTTGTTTTAAATGGGGAAGAAGTGGAATCTGTAGTAAAAACATTATGGATACAACGTTTAAAAAAAAAAAAAAAAAAAAAAACTACTTTGAAATCATCAATCTTCCTGTTCTACTGATGTATGCCTTGCTCAGATGAAATATGAAAATGCATCCTCTATCTGTAACACAATCCTTGAAGAAGCCTCCAAGGATTAAAAGGGACTCAAGTGCTTCTTACTGTCGCAAGGAAGGCTAATGTATTTCCTGAGCTGCATGAGCGCAGCTGGACAGAGGTAAAAATTGAGGGAATAATTTTCTAGTTAAACAAATAAACAAACAAAAAAATCAGTTCTGTTCTTGCAGTTGCTTGTTCAGAGACTAGTCAAGCAGGTTTGAACTGAGCAAACAAACATTTTAAAATCTGTACGTGCCGCCAAGAATAAGTGGACACAAAGATCAACGCATAAAATTGTTAATCTGCCATTATGACCATCAGACATGAAGGGGAACAAATACAAAGTCACATCCTTTACATAATACAGTATTATGTGAGGAAGCAAAGTGTACCCAAACAACAATACTGAAAGGAATAAGCTTTGCTTTTAAACACAAGGGAAAACTGGGAGAAATAGGTACAAAATACACAAAAATTCCCAAATCCAACTATTTTAACATTACAGTGACAGTGCAACAGTTATTATAATTGAGCAATAGCTTTAATTTTAATTCCCTATTTCCAGGTATTAAAGTTCACAAGCTAATTTTTTTGTTTCGTAACATTCTTTCCCTTCCGCCTCTCCCAAGAAAAAGTCTTTGATAAAACATTTGTCTTTCTTAAAAATAGCAATTTGAGACATTTTGACCTACTGCCATGCTCCCAAAAATGACACTGGACGGGAGCAAGTATATACATCAGCTTTTGAAATGAGCTACAGCCTGGCTGAAAGTTTCAAGTTTTGTACTCTCTGGATGACACATTGCATTCTGGAGCATACAGCCCCAAAGCATGTGAATATGTTATAGACTGCACATTTACACAACCCTCCCTGAACAAAAAATCCTTTTGTTGTGGGTTGGGTAGAAAGAGAAAGGAGAAAGAGAAATAAGTGGAAGACGACCAGAAAGGATATACTCAGAGTGATCAAATGTAAGACTGGCAAGTCAGACTAAGTCTTCTCTCAGCCTATGGAGAGCTCCAAATATGTGCAGGGCTGAGCTCCAAATATGTGCACTGCTTAAAAAAAAACAGTGTGCTCCTTATATGCTTTTCCACTATTCTTGTTCAACCTATGACTTTCAAACATTGATGAATAAACCAAAATTTGGTTATTTTATACTAAAATTTCTTCAAATACGTCAATGACAGTTGTGCCGGAGGAGATTTGGGAGTTTTAAAATTATGCTGTGTTGTCCACGTATCTAAAAAGGTATTAGAACCATTTCTTAAAAGAATGAAACTTTGTTTTAAAGCTTTAAAGGTGACATCCCAATGTTATAAAAATCTCATCCTATTATATAAAGTTATATTCCCCCAATTATTCACAATATGTAACTCCTGCAAAAAGTTCTAAACAAGACAGATCAAGAATTTATTTTATCAACTGCAGAGTAAAATCAGAATTAAAACATGATTCACAATTATATGAGATTAATGAAAACGGAAATAAAATCAAAAATGTCAAAAAGAAAGGCCTAAATAGCTATAAGATAAAGTGTACTTGCTTTTCTCTGTTCATCATCTATGCAGTGCTGAAGCTTCTCATCAAATAGCTAAAAGAAAACATATTTGTGAAAATACTGCAAGTGTGGTTTTTCATACGTCAAACAAGCTGAAACTACAAACAAAACACAGTTATTAACCTTCCATAACTGTTGTTCTTTGAGAGGTGGTGCTCATATTCATTCCAGTATAGGTGTGTGCATGCCATGCGCACCACCAGCGTAAAGTTTTCCTCAGTGGTATCTGTCAGGTCAGCTTTGGTGCCTCTGGAGTTGCACCCTCATAGTGCCAGCATATAAAATCCTACCATCCCGCTGCCCCCTCAGCTTCTTCTTGCTGGCTAACTCCTACAGAGGGGCCAGAGGGTGGGTTTTGAAATGGACACGAGCAACACATCTCAAAGAACAGCAGTTACAGAAGGAAAAAAAAAAATTTTTTTTCTTCGAGTGCTTGCTCATGTCCATTCCAATGTAGGTGACTCTCAAGCAGATGTAGGAGGAAGGTTCGGAGTTCAATGACAAGCAGACTGTAGAACCACTCTGCCAAATCTGGCCCGCTGAGTGACGGCATAATGAGTTGCAAAAGTGTGGACCAAAGACTACGTTGCCACTCTACAGCTACCCTGGATGGGAACTGTGACACTGCACTCCATATGTTTTATGGAAATATGCTTATGAGTGTAAATATGCTGCAAATGAAATATGCTTTATGCAAAAAGAACAGGAGTACTTGTGGCACCTTAGAGACTAACAAATTTATCCGAGCATAAGCTTTCGTGGGCAACAGCCCACTTCTTCGGATGCATAGAATGGAACATATATTGAGGAGATACACACACAGCATGAAAAGGTGGGAGTTATCTTACCAACTCTGAGAGGCCAATTAAGTAAGAGAAAAAAACTTCTGAAGTGATGATCAAGATAGCCCAGTACAGACAGTTTGATAAGAAGTGTGAGAATACTTACAAGGGGAGATAGATTCAATGTTTGTAATGGCTCAGCCATTCCCAGTCCCTATTCAAGCCTAAGTTGACTGTATCTAGTTTGCATATCAATTCCAGCTCAGCAGTTTCTCATTGGAGTCTGTTTTTGAAGCTTTTCTGTTGCAAAATTGCCACCCGCAGGTCTGTCATTGAATGGCCAGACAGGTTAAAGTGTTCTCCTACTGGTTTTAGAGTGTTATGATTCCTGATGTCAGATTTGTGTCCATTAATTCTTTTGCGTAGAGACTGTCCGGTTTGGCCAATGTACATGGCAGAGGGGCATTGCTGGCACATGATGGCATATATCACATTGGTAGATGTGCAGGTGAACGAGCCCCTGATGGTGTGGCTGATGTGATTAGGTCCTATGATGATGTCACTTGAATAGATATGTGGACAGAGTTGGCATCGGGCTTGGTTACAAGGATAGGTTCCTGGGTTAGTGGTTTTGTTCAGTGATGTGTGGTTGCTGGTGAGTATGTGCTTCAGGTTGGGAGGTTGTCTTTAAGCGAGGACAGGTCTGTCTCCCAAGATCTGTGAGTGAGGGATCAGCTTTCTGTTCTATTACTTGAAACCACATAAATCCTACTTTTTATGTTTAATAAAAATCACTTTTTTATTAATAAACCCAACGTATGTGATTAATACCTGCGGGGGCAAACAGCTGTGCATATCTATTAGTGTTATAGAGGGTGGACAATTTATTGAATTTACTCTGTATAAGCTTTATACAGAGTAAAACAGATTTATTTGGGGTTTGGATCCCATTGGGAAATGGGTGTTTGGGTGCTGGAGATAACTGAAAACAGCTCAGCACGTTACCCAAATCTGCAGCTTTGGGGGCGTGGACCAGACCCTGGGTCTGCGTTGCAGCAGGCTAGTGTCTCTGGCTCAACAAGACAGGGTTCTGGAAGTCCCAAGCTAACAAGGAAAATGGGTTCAGAGGTAATTTCAACATATCAGGTGAAAGTCCCAAGGGGATCTCTGTGACCGAACCCATCACAAGAACCTCTGTCACGAATGCGGCTGAATGAGAGTGCACCTGGATCTTGTTCTTGAAGAAGACTGTGTATGGGGGTTCTGAAATAAAGGCCCTAATATCCGAGATCCTCGGTGACTGGAGACATTGATGGCTGTGGTTTCAAGAGTGGGACACCTGCACATACAGTCTCTGGATCCAGCCACCATAGGAGGGTGGTGATCACTGAAGAGGGAAGTGTGACTACCATGTCCAAGCAGTCCCGGCCTGGTCAGTACACTGATGCTAGCCAGGCCTAAAGAGGTCCGAGTCGCAATCTTGCGTGTTTCACCATATCAGCACGTGAAGGAAGGCTCTTCAATGAACTCTATCCTTTGGACAGGGAAGAGCATTTATTTCTGCATGTTTATCAACAGGCCCTAATTTCTGGAAGGTTGACAGTATTAGCTGTATGTCTGCCTCCACATAGGCCATGGTCTGACCTATGATCAGCCAGGCATCAAGGTAAGTATATACAGTACCTGAATGCTTTGTTTCCTTAGTAAAGCCAAGACAACTGCCATGCACTTTGTGAAAACCTGAGGGGCTACTGATAGGCTGAATGGAAGCACAGCGAACTGGTAATGTACCTGGTTCACAACAATTTAGAGGAATCTTCTGTGGCCTTGGAAGACTGAAATAGGAGAGTGGCATACCAGTCTCCTGGATCCACAGAAGGGATGTCCACAGAAGGGATAATGGAAGCCAAGGAGACCATGCAGAACTTCAGCTTCTTCATGGAACTGCTGAGGTTTTGCAGGTCCAGGATGGGTTTGAGACTGCCGTTGGCCTTCAGGATTAGGAAATAACAGGAGTAAAATGCCCTGCCCTTAGCTCCGAAGGAACCTCCTCTACTGCTCCCACTTGCAGAAGCATTCGCACTTCCTGGATTAGAAGTTGCTCATGAGAAGGGTCCCTGATGAGGGACAGAGGGAGGAAGGGAGGGTGGAAGGGGGGGAGGGGAGAACCGAACTGTAGGGCGTATCTGAATCCTACTGTGTGTGGCACTCAGTGGTCTGAGATGATATGGGCCTATGCCCAATAATAGTGGAATAACCAATCCACAAAAAATTGGGAACGGTGGGATCCAGACACTGTCCTGGTACGCCATCCTCGGGTGTACCCTCAAAAGGCCTGCTTAGACCCAGACAATTGTCTGGCAGGGCCAGTCCCATGGGCTGACAAGGACTGGGCAGGAGGCCTCCTCTTATAGCTCCTACCCCGCTTCCTTATTGTAATCTGGCCTTGACTGAGGCTGGTAGAAACGGGGCAATGGCTGGGGTTTTACGTGCTTTCTCAACAGGGCTGGGATGTGTAGTCCTAGGGACTTAAGGTGGTCCTCAAATCCTTTAAGCTGTGGAGCTTAGAGTCTGTCTACTCCGAAAAGAAAAACATGCCCTCAAAAGGGAGGTCTTGGATAGTCTGCTGCACTTGGTATGGGAGGCCCAAGGCCTTCTCCTCATGACCACAGCCAAAGCCATGGTTGGAGCCCCCACCATGGAGTAGATCTTTCTGCCAAAGAGATCCAGCTCCTTGGCCTTGGGGGTAGGTCCTTGCTGTCCCTGCCTCTCTCGTTCGTTCACCGCGGACACCACCAGCGATCCTGGAGGAAGATGGATGTAAAAGTATTCAAACCCCTTCGGGGGAACAAAATACTTTTTCTCCACTCTCTTTCCAGTGAGTCTGCCTCAAGGCCTTAACAGATTCCAGAATGGCACCATTCAGAGGCAAAGCCACTCGCGATGGCCCAGAAAAGGCCAAGATGTCCACCAAGATTTCCTCCACCTGGATCTTCAGGTTTTGGACTACTCTCCTGAGGAGCACCTGGTGTGCACTGTAGTCGTCCTGAGCAGGCGCAAATGAAGTCCCCACTACCACCTCATCAGGAGAGGTGGAGGAGGAGGAGGAGGAGGATGTCAGCACAGGTATAGGGTCCTGTTCCTGTCCTTCAGCACCTGAAGAATCCTGCTGTACCGGGTCCCGAAGTTCGGTGCTGGGCTTGGTACCGGGTCCTGATATCTGTACCGAGGGAGGTGGTGGGGGAGTTCTAAATTCTGACACAACACAGTAAGATCTCCTCGACTGAGGCCTTGGACTGGATGGAAGGCCCAGGGATTCCGGAAAGGCCACTGCCCTGGCATCTTCCACTGTGCTGGCCAAGCCATTGGTGAGAACCCTTGGCCCATTATCAGCTGTCAGGTATCAGCGGTCGAACCAGTGTTACCTCCTGTGGGAGGTATAAGATTCTGCCTCAGAGTCGGATTGTGAGGAGTCTCTCCTTGGTGACCATGGAGGAGCAGTACCGGTTGGTGCTGGAGAGCGGTGCCGGGAGGGAGGCGACCAGTGCTGTGTCGTCATCACCAGTTTTCCCTTCAATGGCACCTGGGGCCTCAGTGTCATAGCTGCTCTCGTCTCTAGTGCCCATTCACGCCCGGTGGGGGATGGCAATACCAGGAGGGACAATAGCTACTTTGCTGCCTCGAACGCCTCTGGCATAGATGGAAGCGCCTGAAGCGGAGCGGTGGCGCGCTCAGGGGAAGAGGGGGAGATGAGCTGGAGCAGGGAGCAGTTCCTCTGCGCCCTCCGTTACTTGCCGCAGCCCTCCCCGGGGCCCCCCCGCTCCAGCTCACCTCCATTCCATCTCCTCCCACGAGCGCGCCACAGCTCTGCATCTCCCCCCTCCCTCCCAGGCTTGCTGCGCCAATCAGCTGTTTGGCGTGGCAAGCTTGGGAGGGAAGGGGGAGAAGCGGAGCTGAGCCGCGCGCTCCTGGGAGGAGGCAGTGGCGGCGCTGAGGTGAGCTGGGGCGGGGAGCGGTTCCTCTCCCCCCCCCACTTGCTGCGGCCCCCCCTTCCCCAGCTTACCTCCGCTCCACCTCCACCTCCTTCCACGAGCGCCGCAGCTCCGCTTCTCCTCCCTCCCAGGCTTGCCACGCCAATCAGCTGTTTGGCGCGACAAGTCTGGGAGGGAGGAGAAGCGGAGCTGCGGCGCGCTTGTTGGAGGAGGCAGAATGAAGGTGCGCTGGGGTGAAGGGGCTCCGGGGAGGGCCGCAGCAAGCAACGGGCGGGCGCAGAGGAACCGCTTGCAGTAACAGGAATTCGGATATAACGAGGTAAAGCAGCCCTATCCCCTGGAGCGCTGCTTTACCTCGTTATATCCGAATTCACGTTATATAGGACCACATTATATCGGGGTAGAGTTGTACAACCCGAGCAATATGACCCCCAACAACAACAACTAGTTCATATTTCTTTTAGAGTATTTGTGACACGGTGACATTGTCATTGACATTCCACGCTTCGCTGCAACACCCAGATTCAGTTACTGAGGGCTTGTCTACACTGGCACTTTACAGCGCTGTAACTTTCTCGCTCAGGAGTGTGAAAAAACATTCCCCTGAGCACTGCAAGTTTCAGCGCTGTAAAGTGCCAGTGTTGCCGCGACTACACAGCTACGTTAAAGCAGTGCCACGGCCAGCTCTTTAACGCTGTTAATGAAGACATAGCCTGAGGCTGTGTCTTTCGATTCCCATGCTGTTATTGTTCTGCAGTTGATTAAAAAGGTGGAGTTGATGAGATACATAGGGAGTTCCATTCAGCACTCTTTGGACAAAGAAGGCTGCTCTGGTGTAAGGTTTTATGGGAAGAGTGAGTTTCCATTTAAGAATAGAGGCATTGTTCAGAACACCTCCAGCAAACAGGCTTATCTGTTCTTTTATCTTATCTGAGACTGATAGATCGTTGGAGTAAGGACCCTGTTTAGCACTAGGCCTCTACAGAACCTAGCACAATGGAGTCCTCAATCCTGATCAAGCATTCTGAGTCCTATCCTGATATAGACTTAGTATTAATAATTGCTGGTGCTTGTGAAGCTGTCCCATTGCAAACCATTATATAATGATTTCAAACTTTCCACCGTTCAAAACAAGTCAGCTCCCATTTACTTTTATCTTTAATACAAAAGAAAAATGAAATACAGGATTAAGCTGAGAACAGGTAAAATCACTGGACAAACTTCATTGACAAGTTATTTTATTACCATCTTGGCTGAGACAAATACACTAAATTACATTTTGAAAGCAGGACACATTTAATAAGTAGGTGTTGTAAGCAATTGAAAATAGGTATCTGTGAAAGTAATTTTCCCTCTGTTGATATTCAACACTTCTTGTCAACTGTTAAGAATGGGCCACATCCACCCTAGTTGAATTGGCCCCGTTAGCACTGAGCCCCCACTTGGTAAGGCAACTCCCATCTTTTCATGTGCTGTATATTTATACCTGCTTACTGTATTTTCCACTCCATGCATCTGATGAAGTGGGTTATAGCCCACAAAATTGCCAAAATAAATTTCTTAGTCTTTAAGGTGCCACAAGGACTCCTCGTTGTTTTTACTGATAGAGACTAACACGGCTACCCCTCTGAAACCTGAGACCCATGGATATGCTACTTTTTTCTCCCCTAAAAGATACACTCTAGAAATTAATTTTGGAGATGTTTGATGGTCTGTGTTATATAGAAGGTCAAACTAAATCACAATGGTCCCTTCTGGCCTTAGAATCTAGGATGACATGCCAGACCAAAAAAAGGGATTTTGGCCATTAAACCTCCCAAATTTGATTTATGCGAAGGAGGAAAAAACCTCTGAGTTCTATTTCAAGACTCAATGACACTTCACAAATAGGATTCCACTTACAGACAGACAATTCTGCTTTAGTTTTTGAACTTTCCTGTTCATTAGTTGGGACATTTGCATGACCCCACAATTTTTGATCCTTAAGCATCGATCTGCTCCTACTAATTAAAGTGACGTAAAGGCAGCCAGTTTATATTGAGGAGTCCAACCTTTGACATTGGGAGCCATCCTATCATCTTATCAAAAGCCCAAGGGCTGCACCTAATTTGCATACAATCATAATTTGTCCAAATTAAATGTAAAAAAGTAGTTTGAATTTGTAACTCCCTTGAGAGAGGAGTTAAAATTATTTATTTAAATTCACCATCAATAAAAACTAGAGGTTGATCAGATTTGTTCTTGCCGTGCAGAGAGAGTGTTAAGAGGGACAAAGGGTGCATTTTATGTCTCCACTGATGTATGTTTGGCTCTCAGACTGCATGTTGTGTACCACTACCATACATTAAGTATCGGGGGTAGCCGTGTTAGTGTGTATCTACAAAAACAACAAGGAGTCTGGTGGCACCTTAAAGACTAACTGTTAGTCTTTAAGGTGCCACCAGACTCCTTGTTGTTTTTGTAGATACACACTAACACGGCTACCCCCCCCAAACCCGAGACCCCTGGATATGCTACTTTTTTCTCTCCTCAAAAACACAATCTACAAACTAAATTTTGAGA